ACTCTGAAGGATATAATTTTGGAGGAAGATGAACACACAGTTGGAGGGGAGCGGGAAGGGAAGGATGGTGCCTTACAGCTGGGCAGATGATCTATCACCCAAGACCAATAGTTATAAAGAAATGTCTCATGTCTCCTTCCCTCGGATCCTTCTAAACTGGAGACAGCAGATTCTGAATGCTGGACCTCCTGCATGCAAGGTTTACTAGGCTCAGGGGTGAACAGACTGTGATTGAACTTGGATGCTAATGATAAAATCTACTGTAGTCTGAACATGGGCAAAGCATTTTTTTCCTTTGTATTCAGCAAGGACATTTACAACTATGACTTTCACTGCAGCAAGAAATGGCAGCAGGAAGATGCTGTGAATTTTTTGTTCTCATTTATCCTATTGATCTGAAAAGCTAGCTTGTGAGAACAGCCCCTGCTGACAAGTTATAGCTTAGTCGTCTGAGCTGGATGCCCTGTTTTTTAATCTCCTTTCCTGTCCGCCCCTTTCTGCTGCTCTTCCTGGCTTTGCACCTCTTCAATAGGCTTATTAGGTTTTCAAAGGGGACTTTGGAAGGCAAAGGGGGAACAGATAGTGTGTAAGAGATACAAGCTTCCTCTTCCTTGTCCTTCTGCAAGACACCTAACAAAAAAGGCCCTTCAAATGCCAAGTACACAGGAATTAGGGTGAAGATATCCAATTTAGGACAGACACACGCAGCTCTGAGAATCCAGGATCCCCCCCCCAGCCTTTTCCCTCACTAACAAAATGAAATTAGTTTCTGTGAATTGAGATGAAGGAGGTTCCTGCCCTCTTGTGGTGAGGTCTCCAAATGTTTCGGATATCACTTTATACAGTCCTTTACCACCAGACACACTGGGGCTGATGGAATAGAGCAAAGGCAACCCTTCCCGTCCTGTTTTCTAGTGCCTTACCTCCCAGAGATAGATGCTTTCAGCAATCCCCGCCAAGATGTAAAGACCGTTGGGAGCCGCTGTCAGGCAGGACACCAGGCCAGGGCATATGATCTTCTGTTGGAGCTGGTCCTAGAGAGGCAAGAGAAAAAAATAGTTGGAGGTATTAGGATGCACTCAAACTACAATGGAACACACTCCTTTGGAGTGTGGTGGAGTCTCCTTCTTTGGAGGTCTTTAAACAGAGACTGGATGGGCATCTGTCGGGGATGCTTTGATTTTGAGTTCCTGCATGGCAGGGGGTTGGACTGGATGGCCCTTGTGGTTTCTTCCAGCTCTATGATTCTATGATACTAAGTGTTTCAAGATCACAGAAACACACCTGGCAGATATCTGAAATTTGGGGTGATGAGCTTCATTGAGGATGGGCAGTAACAGGTAGAGCACATTGTCCTGCAAGCAAAAGATGCCATGCTCAAACTGTGACACTTCCAGTCAGAAATGTGGGATGGTGTGATGCTGTTTACCAAGCAAAATCTTACACACCCTATCTATGCATCCATCCATCTGAA